TCGGAGCACGTGGCTGTCCTCTCCCTGCCCCCGTCCTCCTCCTGCCCTGACATCCGCCTGGGCACCCGGCAATTTATTTCCCTTCTTGTTGGCAGGGCAATATCGATTCCAGGAAGCCTGTACGAATGTTAGCCACGCTTCACTGATAAACAGGATGTCTGTATAAACTTGTCATTCCTGCGAGTAGGTGTTCTCTCCTATACCAAGCCTTGTGCCTCGGGTAGGAGAGGCTCGCCCTTGGCGTGATCTTCTAGCTCTGGTGGCTACCAGATTTTCAAATCTGGTCTCTCAGGGCAAAATAGGAACTTGTCGTTTTGTTATGTGTTATGCTTTGGGAACTTCGGGAGAACCCTGTGTTTTTGATAGCGGGCGATGCAAAGGCTCCGTGCGCTGGGATGCAGAGAAGGACGGGTGCTTCGGGCAAAGGGGCAGCCCGGGCTTGCTGGGGACACCTGGGAGTCAGCATCTCTGAGCCTTTCGGGGTGCAGTGAAAGCGACTTGCTGGTTTGGCCTGAAATGTAGGTTCTGGCCCTCTTGGCTTCCCGTGCAATGGAGTGGGACATGTTGGTATCGGTGATAACTGCTTGTGCCCTTTGGGCCCTCCAGAGTTTCAGTACCTCTCCTTTAGTTCCCTGACTACCCCTTTTGCTTTCATGCTAATCTGGGTTTGAAATTTCCACTGTTTTTCACAAGGCTTTTGCCTGGAGTGCGCGCGTACTCAGCACAACTTTAGAGTCAAAAAAAATACAGAGCAGTCTTCAGCTGAAGTGCACCAGGAGAAGAAAAATCTGGAAATGCAATGGACAAGCCTTCTGGCTCCAAAGAGCAAGACCTCCGCAGTGACTTGCGTCAGTTTGAACACCTTGCTTTCCCCTCTACCAACTGTTGTGTTTAGCAGCTTAACGTTTCTTCCAAAGAACAATTTCTTCCTCAAATTACTAGTGTAAGTTTTACTTGGATCTGAGAAGGAGGGGAAAAAAAAAAGAAATGTTGAGAAACAGAGGGAACATTTTGTTAATTGGTAGCAGCATGTATGCTCCAGACTTGGCATATATCCTACTGCCTCTAAGCTTCATTAACTTTTGATAAGAATAGTTAATTTTTCAGACTCCTTTTTTTATAGTATTTCATTGTTTAAGAAATTAGATCATGGTTTTCTTCCACTTCTACTTGTAGCCGGATTTGTGCTTTATTTAATGCTGTTCAGCCTTGCACTCTCCTCTCTGTTTTGTGGTATGTGTAAGCATGAGGGAATGAGCTTGACTTCGGGTTTGGGTTTTTTAGTGTTTCATGGGACTGCCTGAAACTGATCTTTTTTGCATGAACAATACCACAGAGTGCTAGTTCTAACGGTGCCATGTTAGCGTTCCCTTCGGTTGGAGGGGGAAGCCTGTTTGCCTGCGCTTTCTGGATGCTTTCTCCTGGGGCGAGATGGTTTTGTGACGGCCGTGGCAAGGTACTGCTGGCAGGAAGAACTGCAGCCAAAAGCTGCCAGCTTGTGTGCCTAACCTCCCTCGACAGCTTGGAGGATGGAGCAAAACCCGGGAGGAGGAGGAGGCTGTGCGGTTGCAGGACCTCTTTCCTGGTCGGGAGCCTTCGGTGGGGCGGACTTTCCCAGAGGAAGGAAAGCCTGCGCTTAGTAGGGCTGAATCTGTTGCGGCTGTTTTCCCTGCGACCCGAGCTTTAGATGCAGTCAGTCTGGCTGATGTGACCAGAGGACTCCAGCCAGTCTTGTTTCTGTTGAAATCCTGAATCATCTTTCAAGGGAAGGGAGAATACTAGCCAGCTGTGAAATGCAGGAACAGAGAAACCAACTTGGTCTGTTCTGGAAAGCCTTTAAACCACTCCTTTCCTCTGGAAAAAAAAGTGATCCTCTGAAACAAACCAAATAAAGTACCTCTGCAAAGCCCCAGGTGAAACGCAAGCCCCCCACCCCTGAAATTCCCTGTGCTTTCCCTTCGGCAGCGAGCGCGGAGGGGATTTCCTATTCCACCCTCCCAGGTTTGTGAGGAAGCTCCGGGTTTCCTGAAACCGGAGCGCAAGGTGGTTTCCCCAGGCTTTTTCAGGAGACTCTTACCTTTTATGTTACATCAGTTGCCAAACCCCTTCAGAAATGCCAGGTCTCTCCTTGTAACTTCTGAGGATGGGTTTAGGTCTGCTCAAGGGCCGCCCGTTTGGCCAAACTCACGATAAGATCCTTCACAAGAACACATGTGGCTGGTGTTGGGTGTTCCTTTGCGACCGATTCGGGTATTGTGTGTCTTGTGGGTGTGGAGTTTCGCGGCACCACGTGTAAAGCCCACAGCGTAGCGAGGTGACAAGCGTGGGTCAGGCAAGCAGTTGAGATGGCAGCCTGGTTCTCCCTGCCCCGTGTAATCAGAGAAAAAACCAGAGTAATTAATTTCTTCTGTTTTGTCTGGTGCTACTGACCAAGTTATATTCAATCAGATGCTCGACATACCTTGAACTCGGCCAAGAGTGTCAACTCCAGCCATATAATTAGGCTGGGAAATGCGATTTCCTTAGAGCAAATATAGAGCTGGGAAGCGAGTTAGGAGCTTAGAAATACTCCAGATCGGTGGATTTTCATTTACGTATTTGTGCCTGAAAATGACTCATGTGTCTTGGTAGACATCTTGGCTTCACTCTTTGAGGAAGCTTCTCTTAGCTTTTTTGTCTTTTGATATATATATATATTTATACACACACAGGCACATTGGTTTAAGCTTTACAAAAGCTCATTCTTACAGGGAAAATCCTTGGTGAAAAGCATGTAGTGAATGCCTTCCAATCCCTCTCTGGCTCTCTTAACTTTTTCCAGTCCGCTCCTGAGCATCGCCCTTGAAACTGTGCAGTGCAGCTCTATGAAAACCATAGCTAATGAAAGCACGCGCTTCTCGCTGATCTGCTGCTCGGCGGAGGATGAGCTGCAGCCCAGGAGGCTGCCAGCCTGGAACGGGACAGCAGCGGCTCGTCACCCCGTTTATTACTGCCGGGT